GATCTCTGACCTCCCGTCGCCATGGCTTCACTTACGGCTCAGCCGGAGCGCCAAGAGCGAGATCAGCGTTCCGTGCTATGCGACCACTTTAGTTATGTGCTTTCCTACGCTTTACGGAGCAAGACCAGGTGGAGCGTCGGAAGGGTCTGACGTCCTCTCTAGGAAGACCATAACCGATTCACGATAACTTTCGCGGGAAGCTGTCTATACATACCCATAGAGACGTTATAGACACAGAAGGAAACAAGGAATACAGGCATTCTCGAAATTTCAATGAGAATTCCGGCTGGGTTACGGCGGAATGAAAATCGCTGGATTTCTATCCTATTGGAGAATGCCGATACAAGGAACGAGGTGGAACAGGAACCTTTCGAGAACTAGCAGTGAGATGGCGTCGGGTCTGCGGTTGTTTGCATATTTCAATTTCCTCTGCGCAACCCTGCTCCTACCTAAGGTCTTGCGTCTATAGTAGATACATATAGCTACGGCTGACATGTACACTTACCCTGGTCCCGGTGGCACCTCTCCCCTGATTTGGCGAACCTCCACCAAGTTCACGGATGCAACATCGGCAGCGCTACCATACCCCCACGTATTATAGACGTTGGCAGAAAGAGCCCTGTAGCCTTATCCTAGACAACCAGGAGCAGAGAATTCAGTCTACCGGGACATACCTAGATACCCCTAGCACATACTATACACTAGTGTATTCAAGCGTCCCTTCCCTCAGGAAACCTGCTGAAACCTTCCGGTGCTAAATCCCGCTCCAGCCTTGCTGCCGTATCACCTCACTTCTATTATAAAAGTCATTTCACAGGACATTCTTCCCGGTCCATTGTCGCCTGATGTATTTCAATTTTGGCCCAAGATGCAAATTCCATCCAGCTCATGTCTCGATTCCTTACAGGAATATCTCAGGGTGATCATTAATACCGAGTATATTTAAAAAAAATATATATATATACCTACAACGTTAAATAATCAAAGTACTGTCTTTTGGTTGTTCCAATATTCGCAATGCTACACGACCAACTAAATTGAGGGCAACTGGTGACGCTTGAACGGAGAGGAACTCGATCGGCTCTATATTTCTTAATAAATACGTTATACATATAAATTGATGGTTCAAGCGAAAGCGGACGAGAGTGAAGTGGGTGATGGTTAAGGGGTAGCTATACATATATACTGTATATATGTATATGAAAGAGCAAAAGAGAAGGGTACAGAAAGAATGACGTGCAATGGACGAGAGAGACGGAGAGCAATGGTACGTATACCTATAGCAGGCGGAGTCGTAGGACAACGAGGACGTTCGAAAGAGGGAGAGATCTCGTTGTATCGATCGTCGTCATAAAATCCATTTTATGACTTGGACGCTGTCCAGTGACTGGTGTATTAGCCGTCGCATTGCCTCGCAAATAAAACGCTCTTCTACTCTTGAACCCCCTTTAACCAGCAGCAACCCCTATAGGTTCACCAGCCGACGGTGCCATCAACTCTCGTCGGCGTCTCTCTGCGAACGACGACGAGGAGCGTCGGCCCAGCCAGGTTTATAGGCAAAAACTCTTATGCCCAGACTCTGCCTTACTATACAGACGGGAGTTTGCTGTCCTTTCTGATACAGTACACGTACCTCTGTGACTGTGGTCATGCACTATCGCCAGCATCATCGTCGTCATTAACCCCGCAGTAATAACGAGGCTTGAAATTAGCTCTTTAAGGTCAAAACGTCCTCAGCGCTATCGTACGTGGCAAGTATTTTAGTTAATAAAATTAATTGAAGAAGCCGAACCAAGTCTGCTGTGTATAGGTACGTGTAATTAATTTCAATTAGATTAATGGGATCGATTCGGCGACATAAAATTCCCAGTGAGAGTAGCATGTCGCGTTTTTTCCCTCAGCCTTTATCTTTGCCCCCCTTCACCCCCTCCCCCCTTCGTGGTCCTATGTCTTTTGCTCATGTTGCTCTTGAGTACTTTTTTTGATCTTGCACGGAGACCACGGGAGCCTGCCGTGCGATAGGAGTCACGCGTGACGACGTAGTCGAAAGATAACAGGTTACTTCTTGAGAGTTTAAAGTCTACAGACTATAGATACTAGGGTGCACTAGCAGTAGGTACTGCTACTAGTAGTACAGGTATCGGGCTCCGTTAGTAGCAGACCCGTGTATATGGGAGCGTAGGGGCAACTGTAGGTATAGCAGGCGGTTAGGACTCCCCTTAACCCGGGGGTAGTAGATACAGATAGTTCGACCAGAGCTCCCGGGCAGATAACTCCAAGGGAATATTATAAATTTTCGAAACAGCAGCGCAGCCAGATAAGAAGCGAAGCTAAACGAGCTCACATTAACGCGGCGGTAGCCATAGTGCTGGGTTCCATGGGGTTGGGGCCGGGAAGGGAGGGTGGTTGGTGATTGATAAGCCGATCCTGACCAGCGATAGCCACCCTTGTACCCCGTGGAAGAAGGGGTTCACTTGGGGCTCACAAACGGGTGGGGGGTGGGCTCTGGGCGAGTGTCTCGGTCCCATTTGCCTTGCCCTCCTTCTTCACCCTTGGCCAGCAACCCCTTCGGCATAGCCCAGCACGAGCTTGTTTGGTGCGTCCAATTTCGTTTGGCACGCGATCTGCCGGCATTGAGCTACGAAGGGCGAGCTGGTGGAGACCAGCGATTTTCGGCAATTCCCTTGCGGAATGGTAATGGCTGCCGATCGGGGGCACGCTCCGTATTGCCGCGCGGATGGAAACCTCGATTGATCCAATTCCGCCTTGGTTGAGAATTCCTTAGAAATTCGAGCTTGCTAGTTGGCATTAGGCACCATCCAGACCAGATAGCTCCCCTACGTGCGATTCTTGATTTTTCATGGAAACCAGGTGTACGGCTGTGTTATAAGGGTGGGAGGAAGCGTTTCGAGAATTAGGAAAATTTGTTAAGCTTAAGGGCTGATTTAGATATTACGTTGTGACGTCACTTTTTTTTTTGGCATCCTAGACACTTTTTATTCTTCGTGGATATCCGTCGTTCTGTTTACTATCGGCAACTGTCACCCTGGGGAATCCCGTCATGCGACCTGTCCCAGTGCAATTAAGATAAGACCTCCACGATATCTATAAATATTTCGGTTCACCTCATTTTCTCGAAAGGGTGTCCTTCCACCCTATAAGATTTACGCAGCTGATCGACGGAATGGCGATAGCGTAAATAAAGGGATGTTCCGAGGGATGAACTGGAATGCGACCTCGGTGAGGATGATTAAGAAAAAATTTTGACTCCGAATTATCTTACGCAATCACACTCCCTGTTATACGTACACATCCCTTATCTGTCAGTGCACGTGCGAATCCTGCAGCTTGTAGCGGAACAGATAAGATAAAGCACGCGTACTGTGCCACCTGAAAAATGATGATATGCTCGCAAAGTGAACAAACTGCAGCTAAGATTATTGTTACAGTCGTACCACAGCGAAACGAAGTGCAATCAGCTACGTCAAAGTGATGAAAAGTCTGGATAATCTGGCCGATGGCAAAGGACGAATGATTGAGATAAGAGAAAATAAAACGTAGATAATATCCAGTGCGAGGATCCTTAATAGTGCCTTTGCGCGTTCATCTTTCGGTGCGTTCAGATAACGAAATGGTGATCCGATAGGTCTTGGAGAGGCCCTTTGAATAAATCCTATCTCTCGATAGGGAGGCGGGCTCTGGTGGTTGCTCGACAGTATGATAGTCGATAATGGTCTGGTTCAGGCTCTGTCCAATTTCGAGGTTAATTACCATCGTTTTAACCCAGAGCCCACGCTTGGCCCTTCTTCTTCTTAATGCATTCCAGAAATGAATTCTGACCGAACAGATCAGACACGCTGATGGTGATATCTCGTGTAGAGCATGTATAGTTTCATTTACAGCGATTCATTAGCGGGAAATCGTAAATCACAATCATTGAGAAATCTGCGTGAGAGCGAGAGAGATAGGGAGAGAGTGAGTGATTACATTCTACGAGTATTACATGCTAACCTGCTGAAATATTGAAGTGTGACTAATATTGGGGTTTATATTAACCTCGAGATAACATTGGCTCTAACGAGCGAGAAGTTCGCGTGAGCTACTGGTGCCGACGCCGACGCCGACGCTACGCTGATACCCAGACGGTGGTCTTTGGTACTGGTTATTATTATCCGACACGATGACCATGGCGCACTGAGATCATTAAGATTTTTACTTAAATAGAAAAGAGTTTTTGGTTTTTTTTGGAATTTTGAAAAAAATTTTAATTAATTTTTCTTGTTAAATCACGCGAAGGTTTGATTGCGATTAAATGTGATTTTCACGGGGGTAATATTCCAGTTTTATGGTGGTGGGACATTGGGGATTATTTTTGAAAAAAAGAAAGTGGCTGTATATCACTCCTGTCTGTGTTGCGTGGGATTTTTTTTTTGCAATGGGTGTAACTCACGATTGTGTCAGGGGGTGGTTTTATTTTACACGGTGAAACGGACGACGGATTCCCTGGGACGAATTGACGTCGGATAGTCACGCTCGTAAAATTAACCCGGCTGGTGTTATCAATCTCGAATAGGTTTGGCTTGAAAAAATTCCGTGAGAATCGGACGTTTCCGCAAGGGTCGCCCGCATGAGCGAGCGCGGGCACTCCATGCGGATGGATTTAAAAATTACAGCGGGAAAACTTTTTTATTACGCTGTTCCCTCGTAATTATGGCTTGAAAAGTTTTAACGGCCAATTATGTTGACACATTGACGCCCGCCACGTAACGCCAGTCGGCCTCGACTTTTGCTGTTCTTACGGTTTGATATCATATTTTTCGAACACCCTTCTGATGCACGTGATTTCATTGGATATATGTATATATACGAACGGCATTCACGTTCCGAGTCTGTTTCTTTGAATAAGGGTTGAAGAAAAGTTTTACTGATCTTCTCGGGAAGAAATTGCTCTGTTGCCTTTCCAAACGAAATTTTCATGAGAATGCATCTTGATGTTGCAGGGTGCGCATTCCTGACCTACTACAGCCGTGACAGCGCGATCAGCGCCCAGAACGCTCTGCATGAGAAGCGGACTTTACCAGGGGTGAGTATCCCTTGTATACGTATATTCGAAATTCTGAGGCTGCGGGGTTATCTTAACGCGGCCTAAGTTCCTTCCCCGCGATGCGCTTCAGAGAGTACGATATCACCTTTTAAAAAAATATCAGTGCCTACCGGGTGTACCGGAATGTCAAGTATCAATGGAACAACGATACAAATGGACCAAAGTCAATCGTAATTTTTAAAATGCATTTGAAATCGCTAGACCTATCATTCTTTACCAGTACACACGACGGGGTAGTACTAATCCTATTAGCTCAGAGGGGGTGCAATTTCGAATATTAAAATGGGATGGCATGACAAGTTAATCTCTTAACACGGACGAGCTAGTTGCAGTAACGGGTTAGCTTGAGGAGGAAGAAGAGCAGATACACAGTGAATAGGGGATGAAGAGAGAGAGAGAAGAAGGGATGAAGCTCGCGTCCTGTTGGCGAGTCACGATGTATCATCGGACGTCCCGTATCCTGCTAAATGCCAGGGGTGGCTCTTGTCTTTTTCCTACCCTCCTCAACATCTCTCTAGAAAAAGGTCGAAATTCCACCCCTCGACCCAAGGAACCTCTGACATCTCACCCACGTGCCCTCTTCCTCAGGCTCTAACCGAATCTCAGGAGTAATCGTCAAGGGTAGATCTCGTAAGTACCGCGAGTAGTCAAAGCCAAAATGGTATTTCAAGGATAGAAGAGTAATGGGGTGTATAAAAAATTCTACCCTCGTCCAGGAAACGGGCATCACTAAATCTAAAAAAAAATTTACATACACCCACCCCTTTGTATACAGTCATGTATATATACTATATATGTCAGATTTTCTATTCCCTAAGACCAACCGGACCAGGGGTACCACTTGTTCCTAGTTTCGCCCCTGTGGCACTGCTTAACTACCAGAGCAGTGCCAGCACGCCCCTTCCTATTATCCAAGCTTTCTCTTGGAAGTACGTAGCGAGTACTGGCGTTATGTTTCGTTAATCTATCCCCGAAACAACAGTGCTACGCTCTTGGCACGGTTGCCAGCGGAAATCGTTTTAAATGTTATGCCGAGAGATGTGCTAGGGGAGGTTTGGCTTGAGTTATGACTTTATGAAGAGAATCCACGCACAGTCTATGCCCTTACGCATTTACCCATAGTACCACGATAGATGAGTCAAATTGTAAAAGTAAAAAAAAAAATCTAAAAAATCATATAAAGTAATAAAAAAAATATATTCCCATGCCAAATCCACCTGACGTACCTAACCCACCCTCCAGGACATCGATCAGGGCTTTCTACGTCTGGTAAAAGTTTCAAGGAGAAAAGCCCAAGGGCAGAATCGGATTCCGTTTGCTAGTTCTTTTCCTATCTGTTAGTACAGTGGCGTACCTTGCTTCCTATATAGGTATGTAGGTGGGTACGGTACTGCTAGGGATTTTCCGCTTATCCCCCAACGATAAGATAGCCTTGGAAATCCTCCTAATGGTATTTAAACAGATGTTCCCAGTGGAACAGGATGGCTTCCGTCAGCCTGAACTTGCTGGAACGGACAAGGCTGATGCGTCGTTATGGGTCCATTGGATGCATATTCTTGTGGTGGGCTATATAGTCGTACCCGTATAGTCACTTGGTCGCATAGTCACTTGGGACCTCGACTAGTCGTAATTTCCGAGCCCACCTGAGGCCATAACTCGAGCAAGCAGTCGAGCCTTCATAAACACGGTACGCAAGCCGGACTCTCCTGCTGTGCAAGCAATAACAATGCCTACAGCTAGAGGCCTGGTCTATACTTAGAATCATAGTCTGAGGCATAGGCGTCATTATTCGAAGCATAAATACATATCTGGTTGTTTATGCTTCTAGCTATAGGCAGCTTAGCAGTTGTAATGAAACTTCTAGATGGAGCTTAAGTCACGTACAGAGGGATTTGGTATTTACTGAAAATAGTGAAAATTGTTTATTTTCAGTTTACGTGGATATTGGGGATTTTTATTGTGAATATATTAATACGAAGTATGTGTATGTATATACGCGTGATGGTTGGGTATACGTTTTAATTGATCCAGTTATAAGGGTGGTTAAGTACTGGAGCTCGTGACACGATTACCCTATTGGCCTAGAAATATATTAATGTCGAGTAAACTACGCAATTGCGTGGGCGCCCTTTAAACCCTTATCAAAAATGGTTGATCTTTATCGTTATCGTAACTAGAGGTTTTGATTGAACGTTTGCGTGCTAGGCGAATGCACCGTGAGGCACTGACTTCTTTTTTCCAGACCAGATTTTTCGGATTTTGGGTTACCCGTGGCAGATAAGTTTGTTCGTCCGTAAGATTAGAAGAATGTTTTTATTCGGTCTTCGTAAAATAATTTTTTGCCATAGAACGTGTAATATATTTTTTTTTCTCGGTTTTACTGTATATTACGCGAACCGTTTGTGATAGTGGGTCCTAACAGCGACTTGACGCAACTTCGTTTCGCGGATAAAGCTTTCCAGATTTAATTCCTGTTTATTTACCTTACCGCGTCTGCCAAGCCTCCGCGTGCTCGTTGTTAGTCTAGTGGAGCGGAGCGTATAGCTAACGTTAACAGATCGCCAGATGTTGCCGCGGTTTATCAGTATTTCACGCGTGGCAGAAAAATCCATAGTCATGTTTTCGAAACGGTACCGCGGACTCTTAACGGCGAGGGTAGCGCGTTTCCGTTTTCCGAGTCGTCAAAGTGATTCGTGGTTTTTTCTTGCCTCAAAGGATACTGATATACATATGATATATCTATATGAAATAAAAAATAGTTTTGGACGACCATAATGTCAAATGAAATTTTGGTGAGGAGCATTTTGAATTTTTTTGAAAATCAATTATTTTAGTTTGCAACCTAGATTTATTGGCTTTAAGTATGATTGTAGGGAATTCCGTTTGACGTGTGTCTGACATATGTATTCCTAGTTAAATTTTATTTATTCTATTTTCAAGCCTATTTCTCACTTACAATGTACCACAGATTTGGATCTAGCATTGTTGGTCGCTCGCAATAAATAATGACCGCATGCAGAAATCGCCGTGCCACAAATCTGAGGTAGATTCATCGTACAAATTGTCAATGCCATTTACGGTTAACAGTGAAATCGGTTCCTCGCGTTATCATCGCGTCGGAAGGAAACGTGGGGTAGTTTGAACCGCTTAAAAAAAAAGGTGCATTTGGCTCCTCCTGAGAATTTCGATCGGCGCAGTAGGATTTTCTTAAATCGCGCCTTACTAAGAATACCAGGGTAGTTAGCGAAGGGACCGAAGGTAGGGCTGGAGTGCCTCTTAAGGGTAGATTCGAGTTATTCAGGTAGAGGGTGAAAGTCGACAGGAATAAAAGAACTAGGGTAGGAAAAGATTGACGTGCAGTTGGCGGATCGTTAGCATTCTTGGCTAACGAAGTTTTTGCAAAGTTCACTGCACTTGAAGCACCCCTCCTCGCAGTGAAGTATGACAAGAGCGGGAACTCCTGCACCCCCGGGTTGCGTTTCGGCTAAGGGAGAAAAGAGACTGCATTGGGAAAAGGGTTGCACGAGAAAGTTTTACGAGCTTTTGGTGAGCTAGGCGGTGGTGGGAGAAGGAAGTCCCCCCCTTCCCTCTACTTTAAGGAGTAACTTCCGGTTAAGGATAGCAGTAGCGTTTTACCCCTGTAGGCGCGATCGTGCTCGCTTGTATCCTCGGCTTATCAGTGCGTAGGGATCCTTATCGCGTGATCGAGAGGGGTGGATTTTATACCTTGACTTCGTAGATAATAATGCACCCAAGGGGTGTCTGTGCAGGTTTTTTTTTTGTAGGGCGAAGAAGTCCTCAGGGCTAGGAGCAAAGTATATGGCGCAGGAATAAGAAAAAGAAATAAGGAGAACCAGAAGAAGAGAAGGTACGAGTAGTACAAGGCGCGAGAAGATGGGGTTAAGGGCCGTAAGGGAGGAGCGAAAGTGGCAAAGGAGGTTCTTCGTGGAGGTTCCAGGGGTCCTGGAGGAATAAGGTTGCCGAAGGAGGGTTGGAAGGACGGAGGGAGGGGGGAGCTAAAAGTGGGGAGAGAGTGACTCGCAAGGAAGCGAGCCGAGTGGCGACGCCTCAGTGACCGAGCTTACTCTCCCTTGTGCTTTCGCTCGCAAGCGCACCGGGAACCTCCTCTCGTCTGGTTCGTATCGTACCGTATCTACTACAAGCCTCGTGCGCGCCTCGTGGACTCCCGGTGTAACCTTCTACTATACCCTATACCCTATTCGCCTTCGCACCGTTCTGATTTTTAGCTCACTATTCAGCCAGTATACAATAGGGGTTGTTTCTGCGATTTACAATTGTTTTTCTAAATACTTTCCATCCCCGCTAACTCCACCGGCTCTCTTCAACATCGTACTGTATTCTGTATTACGCATTGCACGAACTCTACCGTAGTACCTATACTCCCTACGCGGTAACACCCCGTACGAAACGCTTCAACGTTGACTGAACCGATTCCCGCGGGAAAGCTGCCCGATCAGGCGCGCTCAGCCGAAAGAAGCTTCTCGGTTCGTCTCAGTAACGTCTAGTCCATGGCGAGCTTGGTGCTTTCTCCATTCCAAGCCACTCAACCTGAAAGCTATTTTCTCTTTTTACTCAGCTAGAACGCAACAGAACTACCCTTCTACTTTTCTACTGGGGGGTTGGTAGATACTAGGCTGTTATCGCGTGTGTACGGTATATCACATTTTTTATAGATATATACATATACGCTGCGATAGTATTGGGCTCTGTACTTGTAAACAAATATTCACGTTTTTCAAATTTTCTCCTTTTTTTCTTTTTATTTAATTAAACGGGCGCCTTCGTTTCTCAGACGATTGAGACCGAGCAGAGTGGTTCGAGTGCTTTCTCGAGATCTTCCCTGAAATCGAAGCACAACAGGCTATATACGCGAGCAAGTGATCCATTCCTGCGCAGTAGCGCACAGCTGATGGTTGCGCACTACCCTACTGCCAGATACTCGGCTCAGTTCTAAGTTG